ATTCGATCAGTTCTGGGTGATTTGTATAACCAATCTTTTGATTCATCCTGGTGTATTTTTTCAGGATATTTAGCTCTTATAGCACTTACTTTGTTCTACATGAATTTTCTAAATCAGGTAGTTCGAAAGAATAGGAATTTAAAAAAATTATATATCCTTTTTTTGAATAATTCTAGGCATTTTATCGTCTTATTCGAATTGTTTATTTTCAAAATCGACGATTTCAATCTTTAAAATTATATTCAGTTTTACCATTTATAGAAATAATAATACTAACATGTATTCTTCTAGGTTTTGTTATACCTTTGAATGGTGTAATATATTTACCAAATGATCATTTTTGTTATCCAACACTCACAAATATTCCTTGTATTCTTTCGGAAGCAGTTATTGTTTATCTGTGTCCACTTTGTTGTATATCATTTATCTACATCCATATAACAAGATTTATTCATCAACAAGGAAATATTCAAACATTAAAAATAAAACAACGACACTCACGAGATTTACTTATTACCCGACGTATTTTAATAATTGTTAGTTTATTACTTATTCTTGGAATACCTGCATTGGTTCTTATATTTATGTTTATAATAACAGGTGAAGAACATCCATTACTTTATCGAATTGGATTGTTTCCAGTTAGTGTATCTCAAATGGGATTGAGTGTAGCATTACTTTTTTCTATTCGACAACTGAAAAATACTGTTCTAAACTTACGAACAACAAAAACGGTGACGCCCGTCAATCGAGCTATGCAAATGAGAACAATTATTGGTACTCAATAATTCCACATTGTTTACAATTGCAATAGTGAAATTAATCTTATGAATATATTTTCATATATTTATCAAAATTTAATTAGTTTTAACTTTTTTAATATTTCTTATTTTTATATGAGTATATAATTGAAATTCCTATTGATGATTATCATTATAAGTATTTTTCGTAGAAAAATCAATATGTTGTGATAATCAGTTTTGTATTGTTGATTTTTGTTTAATAATAAGTAAAAATAAATAAAGTTCCAGTATTAATTAAACTGTGTTATTAAATGGAATATTCTTGATATGAAAAAAAGAAGAAGAAATGTATAGGGTGTAATAACACAATAATTAAAAGCACAGAATAATACCAATGAATGATGGTTATGTTCAATCTCAAATGTGTTCTTGAGTAAAAGTTTTGCTTTATATTAAAGAATTTAACCTTCTGAGCTTTTGAATATTATTATTATAAATAGTCATTTTATAATCTAAATATTATTAAGAAAAGATCCAGAGGTGATAATTAGTCATTTAACAAATTTATTTCATAGAATTAAAAAGGTGAAAAATGAATCGGAAACATTTTATATTGTGAAATAGAAACTAAAATGAGTGTTGAAATATATAGAGATAAAAGTTCAAATCCACTTTCTCTGATATCTTGTTTTCATAGTCATTCTAAAAATACATAAAATGCTTGATCGTATTTTACAGTTTTAATTTGACAAGAATTGCACGGAAAACTTTTTATTAATATGTATGAATCAAACATTTCCGTGGCTGTATATTGTTCTATTGAATTTTGGTATTATATTCAATAATATGAATCGTTCAATCTTTTGTTTAACTTTTTTTTTCGATATGTAAAACATAAAATACATAAATGGGTTTCGAATGAGTTTTGCTTACCTTTATTGAAAAAATAATTAACATTACATTGACAGAGGAACATATTTGAATGTATCCATGTAGACATAGATTTAACCCTTAAAAGCCGAAGGGGGTTCCCGTGAAGTTCAGGTAGAATTAATTACATAAATAGAGATTTTGGGCCTTCAATATGCACTTACCGTGGTTAGAACGGCTAGGTGTGACCAAAAATTTTTTCCACCCAGATGGCCTGGGTGGAATATGACCTTCATAATTTTTTGTACGCTTTAGTTTCTAATATGGTTCAGAATCACTGTCAGTTCATTCGGATGATATTTTTACATATCTCCAATTATCTGTTGAGCCAAAAATTCACAATAATCGTGATTACTATGCCCAAAAATGCCATTAAAATGGTACTTTTTTATAACGTCAGAATACCTTAGTAGAAGAGTTAAAAGCGTGCAAAGTTGTTCTAAACTATAGTTTAGGGTTATTTCTAATGATATCACTCAGAATCTATATTGTATATATCAGGATATATCAATATCCGAGTAACCAAGTTTGCTTGAAAAACTATACATTCTAAGAGCTAGGTTTGGGCGTTTGACACCTGTTTTAGCATAATGTTGTTCCATCATACTTTCACTATGACTGTCTTCGTCACTAAAAACAGTAGCTTTTGCAGAAAAGACTTTATTCCTTCGTTCTATAGCGTTTAAGGCAATGTCCATTGAAAGGGACATACGGCTTTTAAGGGTTAAACATTTCCATATTATAGAGTCATCCATGAATATCTCCGATAAAAATATCTGAACTTCCCTCATTTGAATTCGCGAGAAGAAAAAACATAGCTTTTTTTAGTTGTGATTTTATTCGATCTGTGTCTACATTCTAAAGTCTTTTTATTTTCTTTTTTGAAAGTTCACTAAGATTATCATTTCATTCTTGTTTGACAATAATCAACTATAATAGCATAATCAACATTTGCACCAGTATCGACGGGGATGGGTATGGGTGTGGGTGTGTATCTGAGAAGAGTATAACACACCCACACCCACACCCTCAAAATGCTCTTGAATAGGACGTCCTATAACTTTTGTCCAACAGCAAAAAAGTCTTAGAAGTAACTATTACATAAGCCCTGAAAGTTTCAAAAGATTTGGTGAACGTAGTGTTTTTTGTCACAAGTACCATGAAAGTAGCCAGACTATATCTTTTTCATAATGATGCTCTAAAATAGTATAAGCATGTGATTTCTTGTCTAGAAAAATAATCTCTTTATACTCTTCCATCATAAAATATGATAGTAATTTCAATTTTGTATTAATTATAAAGGTAAAAGTATTTCATTTTCTTGAGATATATTATTGACTAAAATAAAATATATTCAAATATCAATAAAGTTTAGATCAAAATTCTTTTGATAGTATCGATAAAGAAAAAACCATTTACACTAATGAATTTCTACCAAATAATTATTTCTATTTGAGATATTTCATTATTTTAATTTTAATCTCAGTTGACAAAAACAAAAAGAATTTTGATTAATAACAGATTATCCAACTATTGCGAATTAATAATGTTTTAAAGATAATGAAATTTTTTTCTACTTATCAGGCTTTTCCTTTGGACATTTATATTATTTAAAAATATTTACTCATTTTACTAATTCACTTTAGATATATATTAGGTATTGCCAATATATAATTACATTCAATACAAATCTCTATTATGATTAATGATCAAACAAAAACCAATGGTTTTATACTTAGTTCGGTTTCTCTTGGCTTTAGTACATTTGCATGTTTGATATCATGCATAATTTTTCTTATTATTATATATCATCTTTATCATAATCATGTCAAACGTGAAGACAAAATAACTGTTGTTATTTGTGGTCATATATATTTAGTACTTTTAATATATTCATCAATATTAATATCAATGAATATTCGAGCAATTCTGGGTGATTTATATAATCAATCTTTTAATTCATCATGGTGTATTTTTTCAGGATATTTAGTTCTTGTATTGCTTGGTATGTTATACATGATGTTTGTAAATCAGGTAATTCGAAATAATAGGAATTTAAAAAAATTATATATTCTTTTTTGAATAATTCTAGGCATTCTATCGTCTTATTCGAGTTGTTTATTATCGAAATAGATGGTTTCAATCTTTAAAATTATATATAGTTTTACCATTTATAGAAATAATAATACTAACAGTTATTCTTCTATGTGTTGCTATACCTTTGAATGCTGTAACATATCTACCAAATGATTATTTTTGTTATGCAACATTCACAAATATTCCTGGTATTCTTTCGGTAGCATCTATTGTTTATATGGGTCCATTTTGTTGTATCTTATTTATTTACATACATATAACAAGATTTATTCATCAACAAGGAAATA